ACAATGCTGGAATCAAACTTCAAAAAAAAAAAAAAAAAAAAAAAAAAAAAAAAAAAAAAAAAATTATATGAGTTGGTACTTTCAAAGTTCTCATTCAACTTTAGTATGTACTACATCCTATTTTTTGAAAAATGTCCAGTTAAAAAGTAAGAAAAATTTCAAAGCACATACATTGTTTGTTCTTACATCAAAAAAAAAACCGAAAATCGAGGTTTTTTTACCAATAGTCACAACCAAATTTAAAAGATTTTAACTTATTTTTGGACTTCAAAAGTTTTCCAACAAACACAATTCTTGTTCTACTGAGTTGATGCATTCTTCGATGTCCTTGGAGGTGGAAATGAAATTGACCCTTCTGATCGCCCGTTTATTCTTTGCACAGAAGCTAACACTAACTTTCCTTTCCGCCTCCTTGAACTGACTGACTTAGAGAGTGAGGAACCAACACTCATAGCTTTTGCTTCCTTAATCGTCGTTTTTTCCCCACCATTATAGAACACATGTAAAAAAATAATACGTATTCTCATTGAACTGAACCTCAAACTGGAAAATGGAAATGCCATATTATAGCTTACATTAGAACCAAATGGCTGCCTGAGAGCTTTTTGTACTCAAGTTTCATATCCTATTTCCATTACAGAATGGATACCTTATTATTAATAATTTTAAATCGTAATTATTTTTATAAAATTCCTATTCATTCATTTGAACGTTTTGTTTAAGTTTAATTTAAATTTTAGTGACACTCGAATCGTTTGGCTTGCCACGGGTTTACTTCAAAACTAGATTGAAAACCATTATTTCTAGAATCAACATTAGCTCAATCATCACAGAATGCAGCAATCACAATTCTAATATAATGACTAAAACAGGTTGTAAATGAGTTACTTTGCATTTGTTAGTCCTAGAAAGTATTAATTTCAACAAACTCAAAATGCTGCTCAAAGGACATCTTTGAATGAGAAACTAAGTAAATAAATTGCAGGGAATTTGTGTTGGAATTAATTGAATTTGATTTGGGTTTGATTTGGGTTTAAAATATTAAATGTAATATTTAATGATATGGGTCATTGCAATTAATTTGAGTGAATTGGAAAAGTCTCCAATATAGGCCCATATGTTGATAAGCCCATTTTAAGTGGTTTTTATATGGAAAGGAGTCCCACATCGAAAGTTTACAAGAAAATAGTCTTGTTTATATAGTGGGTTGTGTAAATAATATATAATTTAATATGTTACCTACCATTTGGCTAACTTTAGCTAGCCAAAGGCTAGCAAACTAGCCAAAGGCTAGTCACCACTAGAGTGGTGCTTCGCACCACTAGCACCATTACCCGGACCCGGTCCCGGCACGCGCACGTCGCAAAGTACGCATTGGGCGCTTTAGAGGCGCACTTCGCACGTACGCATCGTCGCGAGGAGCTGGGGAGCCTTATAGTTTTCGGAAATGGACTCGTGGTTCGATGACGTGGCAGCACAAGGCTCGATGAGTTGGCATTCTAGGTGGCGCACGAGTGGTAGGTCGCGTCCCTTCGTCCTGCATGGCGGTTAGGTGTACGCGTGGCATCCGTATGGCTGTGACTATTCAGAAATTGGTGAATAGGCATGATGAATGGACACTTCACTTCATGGTTCAATCTGGGCCGTCAGATCATAAAAATAGTGCGATCCAATGGCTAAGACGAATCAGACCAAGTGGTGCACCAGTTCCTGAAATGTCACACACCTGTTCCATGAGACACTTCAATCTCTATAAATAGGGACCCCCATATTCGTTTTTTGACACACCAAATCAATTACGAATTCAATTGATTTCTAACTTCTTCTATCTCCATATTCTGCTCGTAAAAAAAAAAAAAATCTCTTATACTTCCGTCGTTATTTCGTTCAAGTACGATCATTCATTGGTTCGACCGACAAGGTTGGTATTGTGCAGTATCGACTTTGGAAGGAGCGTTGTATCTTGGGAGACAGACGTCCATCATCCCGTTTGCACTTCATTGGGGGGCGAAATCTGTCTTAAGGAGATTTGCTTACTTTATTGGCATACCTCGCTTCATTTACTGTCTATTTTTCTACTTATTTTATTTCTTCTTTTGATTGCGTTAGTCGAATTTTCGACAACAATTTGTTTACCTGATGTCATCACCGACAAAGAATTACAAGATTATATATATATTGCCAAAGCATTATAAGAATTCCAACATGAAAGTCAGACACAAAAATCAACAGCCCCCCCTTTTTTATTTTATTTTATTTTATTTTTTAACAATAAAAACACAAAAACAGGAGAAGATTTAAACAGCCTTCAGTGTGGGATTACCTTCAGTCGGAGTGGACTTCATAATCGATCAAAGTAACCACAGCAGCCAAAACTTTCAATCTTACCATCTTTGCACGGAAATGGATTCAAATGTCATTTAGCACAAACCAAATCACAATGAGAATGATGGATTTTCGAAATGGGTTAGAGGGTTATGGTTTGGGGCATGTTTTTGTTTTTTGCCCAATTCTTCTCTCGATTCTAGGGACAAATATGGTCCGGTTCGATTTGTTAATAATGAGAACTAAATCGTACCCGAAAATTTTGAATATTTAATAAGTGGAACCGTCGAGTTCATATTTAATTATTGAACCGTTCGAGTTCGGTTCCATTTAGTTCCCAAGTCTCGTATTATAATTAAATTTTTTAATATTTACAAAGTTACATTAGTTCAATTAATCACATGTTAAATATTGGCTTTTACAAAATAACATAGTCCAATTTTATGCGTCTTTTGCGTTTTTCTTTGTTGAGTTCTTCATATATTTGATTGTTAAAATCACAGAAAGAGAAAGATACTTACAATAATTAAGAGAGATGCTGTCGAGTTTTAATTTGATTTCTTCAGGGCGATAGAAACGACATTGTTTTAGGATAATAGATTTGGATAAAATTTAGTTTAATTTGATTGAGTTGTGTTTGGATTGAAAATTAGAAATAGGAAAAATCATATTTTTATGTTTGAACTAAATTAATTACTTATCAAATTTATTTAGAAAAAAAGAAGAAGATAATTTGACTTATTTAAAATAAATAAATTAAAAAAATTAGGGAGATTTGATTGTTCAGTTCTTAATTTTGAATCGTGAATTTAACTTTGAGCAGAATCAGTTCGAGTTAAATTGGGTTCGATTCTGTTGATCTAGTTTGGAATTTTGTGTAGCCCTACTCGATTTTGTCCTATAGAGGCGTAGAGCAATAAAATGGATTTGGGGGGACAGGATTAGGGATTTGGTTTGTTTGGAGATGATAAGACGGTTTCTTTGGAAATGGGTAAGGTATGTTTGGTTGATACGGAGGATCTACTTAAGCATTTTTCTGTAACTCATGTAAGTAGATCTACTAACGTATTTCATCCGACGTGTGATGAAGCGAGACAGAGATATGTTTAGTGACTGATGGGACATTTTATGAAGCTCGATGAATAAGTCGAGATACGGTACATAATTTAGTGGCCGTTGAAGCAATTAGGCCCCGTTTGATTGGACGAAATTTTTCATGGAACTTGGAATTCGAATTCCAACATCCATTTCTGTCATGTTTGATTGACAAAAATTTTCAAGAAATTGATTTTTCATGAATTTCTAGGTACAATACCTTAAAGCGTGATTTTCAATCTTTTTTTCCTAAGAATATGTGGTTTTTGGTTTTCCACTTTTTTTTTTTTTTTTTTTTTTTTTAAGATATGAGACAAGTTGGCTTTATTTGTTCATATTCACCACACGTCTCTCTTAAATCCTTAACATTTGACACGTTAATATTAAAAATAAATGCACGGGCAGTTGACCAGTTTTATTTTTAATATTACATTAAAAATAAATGCACGGGCAGATGACCAGTTTTATTATAAACAACATTTGTACATTATCCTTATCTCTCTCGCCTACCCCTCCTCCTCACCTCTCACCCGGTTGCACTCGCCATGACATTTCTGTCTTTTATTGCTTAAAATACTTTTCGTGTCATGGAGTATTCATTATTTAATTTAATTTTATTAAAAATGGCATTTGTACGTTTCTTCTCAGTTCTCACCTCTCACCCTGTTGCAGTCCTCGTGATACATGCTCCCTTGCTTCACCTACTTTGGAGTAGTAAGAGTAAGATCCGGATATGGGTCTAAGAAATGAAACAATAAAATGGGTAATTGGGTCAAAAATTAAAAAATTAGAAATGAAACAAATTATTAGGCCAAAAATTTGGATTTAGAAATCATTAATTTGTTAATTTGTTTAGAAAAATTTAAAATTAAAATAATTTGATTTACTCAATATAAAAAAAATTAGAAAGATTCGGTTCTTATTCGGTTCTTCGGTTCTTGGTCTAGAACGAGAACCGAACCGTACCCGTCGGTTCTCAATTCAGATACCCGTTCGGGTATTTAATTTGACAAGAACCGTCGGGTTCGGATCGGTTCGGTTCGGGAGATTTGCCCAGCCCTAGGCAATAGAAACAAATTCTAGGAACAATGGTAGAAGTGAATATCCGTTAAATTGACAATTTTCATATAAAAGAAAGCCAAATGAACACAAAAAAATACTTTTACTTCAACATTTTTCAGGTGGAAAATTATATCAATCAAACACAATAATTTACAATTTCCAGGAAAACAATCTCTAAGAATGTGTTTGATTGACATGAAAAATATAACCTATAAAAGAAAATATTTTCCATCTTTTGTGGAAAATAAAAACCACCTCTACCCAAGGAAAATATTTTCCTTAAAAACAAGGAAAATTAAGCATATTTTCAAAAGTTGGAAAATGTTTTCCATGGAAAAAAATAGCAATCAAACACTCAAGTAAGAATTTAGATGGAAAACTAATATTTTCCATGAAAAATAAATGTAATGAAACACACCTTAAGTAATTCAATTCCCTAAAATTTATTTTCTTTCCACCTAAATTCCAACTTCGCAATCAAACACACCCCTTAAGTCTAAAGAATATGGAGAGTACCAATTTTATGCCCTCGATTGCCTTTTCTTGTGCAAAAATTGATGGCAAGGAACTATCGTATGGTCACAACAAATCAGCCGGCCTGAAATCAGTGGAAAGTCCAAGAAATGGTAAATCACTTGATCGTCGGCCGCCGAAGCCGCCCCTATTCTTACAGGTAGAGTCTACTTCGAAACCCTAGTTTTTGGTGAATTTGTATGAGATCTGCTGTAAACAAAAGCACAAACGCAGTTCATTTATGTGGAGTGCTTCCTGAATTGTACTCTATTTATCCTCTGTCTACCTGAGTTTCTGATTCTTGGGTATATGAGTTCTTTGAATTATTCGCAAATTTGATCCATATAATAGCGCGTAGTGTGTAAAAGAATCAGTGAAATTAAAATTGTTCTCACGTGTTATTTCTCCTTTGCAACCAGGTCAAGTGAATGATAGGTGAAAAACAGTAAAATACCAGTAAAAGAAGTTTATAGCACTCGAACAACTGTAATATTTTGATATTTAAAGTTGGGGCATTATATTGTACTGTACATGTGGCTATTCGATTGGTTCTCTTTCCCCAATTTTACTCTTAGAAACTCCTTCCCTTTTGGAAGCAAGATGTTGCCCTTTTTTCCTTCTATACTAATACGAGGGATTGGGTAATAGCCATATGCAGTTTACAAAGTGAGGAAATGTTATTTTGGTCAAAGAACTGAAGAAAAATGCTTTCTTTTATGAAGTAGGATTATCATATTTGGCCTACCATTATCTTCTTGCATGTTTGATCAAACATGAATCTTACCTAGAAAAAATATGGAATATCACGAAGACGAATATTATTATTTATTTATTTATTTATTTTTGAAGTGGGGAGATCATATTTTGAATACTTTTAACATGTGCAAGTATGAAAATTATGTAGTGAATACAAGTTATGAATTTTTGCTGATTTGAACAAGTCATTGCAAATGGATATTATCTCCTGCTTATGTACGAATAAGTTGAGCAAGGGCTTGAAGTCTTAGCCTAATTAACTTTCTTTTCATCCAGCAGCACAATGGTTGATTGGTCGCAGCTTCCATACGACCTCGTTGTATCAATTGCAAATCAATTGTTTGAAGTTGTGGATTTTCTTTCGTTTTCTGCTGTTTGTCGTTCTTGGCGACTGGTTTATCTTAAGAGAAATTGGACCCCAAGTCATCGTGATCCTTGGCTCATGCTAGGTGAGTACACTGAAGGTGATGTGTCCATAAGGCAATTCTTAAGTTTGACCCAATTTAAGGTCTACAAATTTCCTCTACCTGAAGCTAATGGTTGCCGCTGCTGGGGAACTTCTCATGGGTGGATTGTGACTCTTAGTCAAGGTTTTGCTATTCGTCTCGTGAACCCCCTTACTCGAGCTTGCCTCGATTGTCCCCAGCATTCCATGCTAAGGAGCCTAGGTCATAATGAAGTTGATTGGTTTGCAGCTATACAACAAGCTGTTGTCTTAAAAGTTCGAGACGAGTTTGTGACAATGGTGATACATAGCTACAATCGCTGTTTGTCTTTTGCTAAACATGGAGATGGTGCATGGACTGATGTACCGTTCTCTGTTCCTGTTTCCCTTATAAATATTGTGTGCTTTAAAGATAAAGTGTTAGCACTTACAGGGGTTGGGTCACTACTACTTATTGATATCGAGGGGCCTGATTGTCCTAGAGCACTCTGTATTGCTTCACCACCGGGGAATACAAAGGGTTGGGAGAATATGTATTTGGTAGAATCATCGGAAAATCTTCTGCTAGTACTGCGTTATAAACATCAGTTGAAGCTTAAGTTTAAAGTTTACAAGTTTGATATATTACAAAGGAACTGGATGGCATCGGTGGACATTGGCAACAACATATTATTTGTTGATGATTATGGTTGTACTTCAGTTTCTGCTTGTGGCTCCATCAAACCTAATTGCATCTACTCTGCACAAGATAACTTGGAATCTTCAGTTGTACCCCAGCAAGAACAAACTCTGATTATATGCAACATCAAGGATGACAGCACTGATATTCAACGAATTGATGCTAAACCCACGACCTTTTATGCTTGTCCAGTGTGGATGACGCCTGCCTTGTGGTAGAAATAATTGTGTTATTGGTTTATATGCGTGTTTGACAGTGTCTACAAATTACTGTATAAAGAACCGAAAAATCTGAACCCTTCTCTTGTGACTGCATCTTAATCTGTTCATAGTTAATTAGCAATCTGTTAGGGAAATGGGAAGAGAAGTTTTATAGATGTATATGATGATTTGTGCTTTGCTAATGGCTCTACAGATTTTGCTATCCTGGTTTATGGTATCTATTTGGGTGAAAAATGCTGCTACTGCTGTTTCTCTTTGAATCGTCAAAGCTTTTATGTTACAGTTCCTGCACTAGTCTTTCATTTAAGCACTACATCGAACACACTACTGATCAGTCTGGTTAAGAAATTTATCTAATGGTCATTGAAGTTTAAAGTAATTATGTCAATTGTCGCTGAAGTTATTCTTTTACGGTAATACTAGCTCAAGCTTCTATATGCTCACTAATAGTCACTTGGTTTAAATAAATAACATTAAATCCTATGTGGCACTTAATGTATTACCCAACAATATTTTTTTCACTTTCCAAAATAAAAATATTCGACGTTGGATTAAAAATTGAGGAAGTTTCACCCAATTCTAGTTTTAAAAAACATATTCCAATTTTTCTCTATGTCAATATTTTTTTTTTGGGAAATACTTAATTTTATGTAGTAAAATTTGAATCCCAAAAATTGCTCTACTCTTCGAGATTAACCATTACGTATGTTGTAATCATGCCTCCGAACATGCCTTATAGGACTGGACATGGTTCAATTCGATTCGGTTCTAATAAGAATTGAATCGTATTCGAAATTTTCGGGTATTTACTAACTGAAACCGTCAGATCCAAATTTAATTATGGAACCATTCGGGTTCGGTTCCGTTCCGTTCAATTTTCAAGTTTCGTATTATAATTAAATTTTTTAATATTTACAAAGTTACATTAATTCAACTAATGATATTTTTATTTTAACTCTTACAAAATAACATAGTTCAATCTTATGTGTCTTTTGCATCTTTTTTTTACTGAGTTCTACATATATTTGATTGTTAAAATCACAGGAAGATGAGGATAGTGAGCTCAAAATAATTAAGAGATGCATTGTCGAGCTTCAATTCAATTTCTCCAAAATGGTAGAAAACGACATTACAGTAGAGTTAACATATTTGGATAAAATTTAGGTCAATTTAATTAAATTGACTTTGAACTGAAAATTAGAAATAGGAAAATCATATTTTTTGGTTAAGCTAAATTGACTAATTAGCAAATTTATTTAGAAAAATAAGATAATTTGACTTATTTAAAATAAATTTATTATAAAAATTAAGGAGATTTGGTTCTTGATATAGAATTGAGAATTGAACCAGACACGTCGATTTTCGATTTAGATATCCATTCGGGTATTTAACTTAAAAAGAATCGCTCGATTCGAATTGGGGTTCGATTCGAGAGTTTTGTCCAACGCTAATGTCTTATATATCATGCTGTAATCACTTCAACAATGCCTTATCTCCCACCTAATACCCAATTGAAGAATCACTTAAAATAAAATAAAATAAAATTCCCAACCTAAATCTTCAATATTTTTTTTACAAAGATTAACCAAAAACATCATTGCTACCTTCTTGATTATTTCAGAGATTTCAAACCCTACCAAAATCGATCTCAAGAAGCCGATGTCCAATTCCATTTCCATCTTCACGACGATCAGGGGTTAATGTAGAGGGGGTTGGGCTTGGCTATAGTCCAGTCCTGCCCCAGCCCATAAGCAAATTGATATGTGAAAAATGGAAATTTTAGTCTAAATTCATGGTGAATCGAAAGGAATAAAAATTTAACTCATACCAAAAATTAATTTAAACACAACTTCATTTTCAACCAAATCTCAACATTCAATTATTCAAATTTAGTTTAAAATTCTACAAAAAATTATATATTTATTTTATTTACATTCATAATACACAAATAACTCGTTATTAGTAAAGATAACTGACATATTTTATCAGTATGAGATATCACATATTTGACTAAGCTTAGAAGTAATTAAATTTTTCCTTATGTATTTTTCATATATTCCTTATTTATAATTGTGAATTAAAATTTATTTATTTCAATTATGAAATGGATGTCATTATCAAAATAAGTAATATACTGCAAATTTAATTTTATTAGTAAAAAGTATATTTGTTAGAATTTTGTCATGAGTGTTCGAAAATATGTTTTGGCCTACTTTGTTATGAGCACCACAAGTTTAATCTTTTAGACTAAATTTCATGGACATAGAGCATTTTTTTTTATGTATGAGTTCATTGAAGAAAATTTAGTGTATATTTGAGCCCCATTAAAATGATTTTTGGCCAATTTCATTTTCTGAATCTGTGGGAGCCACATTGTCGGAAATTATGAGAAAAACACACCAAAGTCGACTTTTGGGAAAACTTGCAGGTCCAAGAATATATGTTTCCAGTTTACCCTTCAAATAAAATGGCGGGAGGTTATCTAAAACTGAAGGAAATGGAGGTTATTTTTGAAAATTGGTTTTAAAAAATGAGGGTATTTTTGAAATTAGAATTTTAAAGATTTTGCAACAATTAAAGTGCCTGCCAATACACTATGCACTTTTTAATTTTTTAAAAATTAAAGTACTGTCGAAAAATGAGAGAGCACATTAAAAATGAAATTCAAACAGGGGCTCAAGTTTCAGCCCACCCTAACAAATCTTTTTGGCTTTACCCTGACGATAATAGATATGTTCTATTTTCTTGTTTCATTTACAAGAAAGCCACATAATCTATCTCTTTTAAACTGTCTTCCTACATTCATCTCCAATCTATGACATCCGTTTCACATGGCTCAACAATGTTTTGCTAACTGTAAACTTCTTTGCTAATGCATATCAAACATCGAGTTGTTGTCTTTCATAAAATTAATCTACAGTTGATAATTATACGTACCGACCAAAAAGCTAAACGTTCGCTAACTATGAAATATTTTATGTTGACAAAGTAATGTCATCTGTTCATAATATGCACATTCACATTTCAAAATTAGCAAAGCTAAATAATAAACACCAATAATCATCCAATTATATTTTATACATATCTCTAGAATCAATATTGTCTACTGTCTTTGTTCATCTATAGTTAAGCTAACGTTATATTGTAAATAACCTATCAACCTTGCCAAAATCCATGGTTTTCCTGACTGCTTACTGATGTATATGGAATTTCCCAAACTAACTTAACTGAAATTTTATTCCGAATGATACTATAAACATGATCAAACGACTTTGGAGTGATTGGTAACAAGTTACATTAATAGGGAACATCAAACATATTCCAACAAATAAACCCACATTCTATATTGTACTAAATATGTGTCATCCGCACGTGATAAAGCATTTGTAAGAAAACTGTGCGTCCACTAGGGTTCCACAAATGAGAATGTACTAACGTTTGTTGGACTTGTACACCTCAAATGTGAAGTTGTTTCAAATAGCATATAATGCAACAGCACTCTTTATCAACTTCTTGTCCCTAAATATCTGATTTTCGGCAACAACTTCAGCACCAGGTTTCGTAATCTCAACGTTATTCTCCACAAAATCTTCTTCAACCGGTTCCATTTGAGGACAAACTGCTAAAATCGGACACTGCACTTCTTCATCAAATTCATTTGCATTTTGGTTCGATATATTCACTAGCATTATATCCCCATATAGAACCGGAGTGAACTGTCATTTGAGATATTCACGGGGAGCCATGTTTTCACCTACATCGTAATCTATCTTCAAGCAAGATGTCATTTAGTCGACTTGCATCTCAGCGGTTATCATGTCAACTAGATCCCATACTTGCATCCAATTGGTAATAGAATAACAAAAGTCATTACATTGCACGTTATGCAATGAAAACATTCACGAATTTCATATCTGTGAAAAGAAAAAAAGTGAAAAGAACTAAATTATGATAAGCGTAATGAGATTAAGTTAATATGTGTAGAATTAATGGAAAATCATTCATAATCTGGAATGTGTGAAATAAATTACGTAATTTCTGAAATCCCATTCATCCAAATCAAACAAATCATAAAGCCCAATCTATAGATGGAACGTATCTTATAAGATTGCATAAAAGGACAATACAATGTAACATCACCTGTTACAGAATTTGATTGCTCAATTGATTTCCTACGAGAATCGATTCTACAGAAGTATGCAATCAAAATTTAATAGTCAATGAAACTATACCAGAGGATTAACAAAGATACGAGTTTGGATTCGTCACTTCCACTATTGCTGCTCTTGTTACATTAGCATTTTCATGGTTTGAATTTGAATTCCAAGGATTTCAGCATTCTCCATTAATTACATCCGTTTCTATTCTGAATCCTAATTGTGGTTTCAATTACGGGTTAAAATATGGAAAGTTTGGATTATAATAAAAGTGGGAATTTATTTTAGTGATATAGTAATCCCAACATTTATTTTAGTAAAGTAGTAGAAAGTGAAATTTTATGGGTAGCGCTATTTCTATCCACATTTTTTTTATAACTACATCTCACTCTAAGTTCATCCCTAATAAAATTTTAAAAATTAAAAAAAAAAAAATACTATTTACATCCACATTATTTCCAATCTTGCCTTTATTAAATCCATTCATTTAAATACTATACATCCATGTGAATGTTATATATTCATCCCATTTTAAATACATCCCTAACACTATAAATTCACACAAAATCTCTAAAACCGTAAACTCTTTTAAACCACATGAATGAAATAATAACAAAGTTGAACTTATTGAACATTAAATGAACATATATTATTTAGCTAATCGTGTTAATAATGTTTATTAGAAATTTTATCATTCTTATTCATAAAACTCAATTCATCAAAGGCAAACCATCATAAATCAACATCCAAATTAGGAGGAGAGTTGTCTATAGAGAAATATACTGAGTAACACTTGAAAATCATCGTGTTTGGACTATGATTGGTTTGCTTCAATCGTCTCTTTGTGGTATGCTTAAATCCAAAATTGCAAGTAGAAAAACATCACATATATGTTTAGATAAAAATGTTTAACATGCCTAAATTTCTTAATTTTTTAATTAGATAAAAATGCTTCACATTAATAGTAAGTGGAAAACATCACATACTAGACATAATTTGTAAATAATATATCAATGTGAACCAAAATTTGGCCCCAAATCTTTGCGGATAAACACAGTATGA